GGCAACAGGGAAACCTAGTCCCTAGAAGTGATTGGCATGAGACCTAGATGGTGAACCCATCAGTAGAAGTAACAGAATGTCGTTTTCTCTTGAAACCTATAGATCATGATTAGCATGACATTGGTCACCATACAGAGTGAAAAGGACTTCACATCTCAAACTAATAGATTGTAGAAAATATTTATCTATGTAAAAATACAACATCAAGAGTTTCCATGGAGAAATCATTGTGGAAAAGATACAGACGCTTCCTGCCACGCATCAATGACATGTAATTGAAAGACAGAGGATAAGCTCACTTCAGATTACTCTCCTTACTTGATGAGGATATATTATATAGTAAGTAGAAATATATACAATAGAACATCAACAGAAAAGTGGAAATAAACTAACTTATAAATGAACAGAATCCTAGCAAAAATAAATATGCACTGACCTTAGTTATTAAGCCTGAAGAAACAAAGATCAGGTTGGAAACAGAGGTTCTTTGGGCTGGAAGTCAGGGGTAATTTTTGCTTTCCTTGAGTGTGTTTGTATTTAGCCTTTTGGCGCAATGAACATACAGGAGTTTGGTAACCACATGCTAAGAAAGAACCAAGTTTGAAATATTAGAAAATGGGAACAAGTGATCTGCCTTTCCTCCACACTTAAGGGCCTTTCCCAAGTGTTGTAGGAGCATCTTGACAGCTCCGTGTAATTCACGATGAACCAGAAGTATAGTTAGGGACAAGTGGCTTTTTAAAGTCTATGATACTTCATCCAAAACTTGGCAAAGTCATGGACTACTTATCCTCTCATCAGGGCACAGAATTCAGTTAGAACACTCGAATTTTCAAGTCATATATTTCTTCTGTTCCTTTTTAAAAAAATTGTTATTTCTAAAATTTTTTCTTATAACTTTTGTTTACCTTTCCTAAAATAAAATGTGACTCGATCTGCAAGATTATTGTTGCATTAAAAAAACTCTATGTTGGTAAAAAATCATATTAAAATTCTTATTGAGTGCATTTTCATCTTTTTTTTTCTTTCTTGACAGGGAGTCTATCTGAGAAAGGATTTCTGGGATAATGTGCCACCTTCTCTTGCATATGGAGGAGGACTGAGCCAGCAGAGGAATGTAAGGCCCCTGCTAAATACATCTCAGTCTAGGGCAGTTTATTGCTTGAGACTAATTTTTTCTTCAATCTTATATTTATAAATGAGGTGTTTTTTTTTTCTTTTTAATAGTAGCCTGGCTTAAGAGAAGTATTCAACTCAGTGTTTAAATGCTGTTGATGGTCAGGACCTCTTAGTCAACTTTTCAGATAGTCCGTGCTACAGAGAGGACCCTGCCCTGAGAGCTGCGGTGTGTGTGCAATCTCGACAGCTATTTTCATAGCTCAGCCACAAGTCAGGTGAAGGACAAGATGGAAAACCATAAGACCTTAATGCACGGATCTTCTTTTAGCGCAGCACTAATACGGTTTGTCACTTTCTAATTTACAAAGGGATCACAAACTTTAACACAGTGCATGCAGCTTTAAAAGAAAGAATGGAGGTCTAAATTTCTGGGCTTTCTTTTGGAACTGTAGAAAGGGTATAAAAATGATTTTAGGTGACCCGGATATGTGTCAATCTCCCAGACTATAAGCAGTTAGAAGGCAACAGTATTTTCTTATTTTTCTGTCACTGAAGCCCAATAGAGACCCTGGTACAGAGCCAGCACCCAGAACATTTTGTTCCTTGCAATGGTCAGAGTAGATGGGAACCGTGGTCTCTAGAGACTAGGAGTGGCTTGTAACTAGCTCACAATCAAACAGTAGCTTTGCAGTGACCCTGAAATGTCCCAGATATATACAGAGGTCCCTGCCTATTTACGTAACTTCAATAAAGAAGTCACAGGAACTAGTAAGTAACTTCAGATTTCTCCAAACCTCCAGGGCTTTATAACTGAAAAGGAACAGTCTCTACACAGGAGACTTAAGTTTCTGATAGAGGGGAAGAAAGAAAAAAGAAAGAGAGAGAGAGAGAGAGAGAGAGAGAGAGAGAGAAGAGGGAAGTCAATACTGTGGAATAGAACCAAGTACAGTAAAATCTGAAGAAGTGAACAGAACAGCAAAGGTGAAAACTGTCAGAAAGACTCAGGCGCCACGTCCAGCAGAAGGTCATATCTGAGGCTCTAGGAGAGTAGAGATTTCTTATGAGAAACTCTAGTAAGAAAAATACAGTGACTCATTTCATAATAATGCCCTTGCTTCCCAAAGTACAGAGCTCAGTTCCCACATCCCAAACATAAGAACGCCGTGCAGGGCTATTGCAACACGGAGGACCCTTCTTCTACTCTCTGTCCCCCGTGGACAGAGAAAGTTGATAAGGTGAACATACTTCTCTAGCACGGTGGTAAAGGAACAGCAAAAACGGCTCTCACTCTGCTCTGCCTCTTTTGTGCTGCCTGATCTGGGACATGTTCTTTGGTGGAGCTATCCTGAAGAACTGCCATGCTAAATGCTGCTGGCTTCCTACTCTGAAGGCTGAAAGACTCCCTAGGCAAAGTAGTTTTCAACAGATGCTCCCAGATTTCCTAGTCAGTTCTCACTTAAGACACAGATGCCCCAGAAAGCACAGGAAACTAAAGGAAAACTCCCTAAGAGCTACAGTACCAGTGAGAGGTTGAGGCTGCTATCAAGAACAAGACCACTCCCCATTAATCCTGTGAATGTAAAACACTGAGTCATAAACAATTACAAGAAAAATAACTGCAGTTTATTGCCAATATAGCTACGTGGGGAGCCAAGTTCTCAGGCCTTGCTAATCAGAAGTTCCTTGAGAATGACTACCAGGAGAGAATGAGATGGATCCTGCCCTCTTGTGATCATATAACATGAAAAGAAATTCAAATTCTTGCGGAAGGGAGAACTGATATCACTATGTTTGTGTATTTGGAGTTCATCATGAGAATGAATTTCTTCTCTGGCAGGAAGCATTGGGGGGGAGGGGGGAAAGATGGCTGATTGACCTCTAAATAGCTGGGAAGGTGGACTCTCAAGAGGTCAGATATTAGCAGTGGGAAGGCAGTATGACCGGCTTGATGAGGGGTCCGCAGGAGGGCCTGGCTATTCACAGCTACCTCAGACACACTTGAGAAAGTGGTGGGCGTGAGGCCCCGAGGAGGGGAGTTGTTCAGTGAGACAGGAGCACATGCGGCAATGGCGCAGTTAGGTGGTACCTGCTCGACTCTGTTTCCCTGACTCTTGTCTGTGTTGCTGGGAAAGTGTACATGAAGGGAAAGTGAGACATAACTAAAATGAACCACCCCAAAAAAGAAAGAACTGTGTGATATAAATGACTTTTCTTATGCACGAATATGGGCAACTTTGATAGTGTACTCAGTAAAGATCAGAACAGGCTAAAGACGAGGAAACTGAGTTCCCATGTAAAGTGTCCAGACGGTTAAATGAAATGAAAGACTGGTTCACAAGGAAAGTTTTCAGTAATTAGGAAGTTCTCCAGATCGCAGGAATTATATAACAGCAGCTTCGGAAAACTTACATCTGTATAAATACTAGAGTCCCCCAAGGGGATAATGTTTCATTTGTATTCAGATGCTTTAATTCCTTTTTAACAATTTAAGATATTAAGTATTACCATTACACGTCAGATATAAGATCTGATTTCTCCTCTATCCCATCTGCAAGCAATAACATTCTGGTAGTTTAGTTCTAGCTGTGTTTTTAAACTACAGATCAATTTTTTTTCTTGCTCTGAAAAATCAGTTAAGCAATCTTTATTAAAATATATGCCAACAGAATTACTTTAGTATTTATTAATTTACTAAGATAAAGCAATGTCCTGAAAATATTTAAAAAAAATAAACTTTTACTGCCTTTGGCCAGATTTGCTTCACTGATCTTATTTTATGTTTACATAGAGAGATTGTTTTTGATGGACGAAGAGGAAATAAAAGGGTTACACGGGCTTTTTTGAAAGGATCCTCTGTTCAAAACAAAGGAACCAAATGCAAGGGCGAATTTTCAGTTCTTTGCTCTTTCTGGGTTTCTACTGTCTCACAGAGCCTCTTAAACACTTATGTATTTACTTAAGATGAGATAAGAAGCTGATTTTATACTATGAGGGCCAAATTTCAAATGGGTTAAAAAATAATAAGCAATAGGGATAATCTAATATCCCCATAAATTATTTTAGAAGCATAATAATCATGTCATACTTTATGGCTGGGTTAATATCTTCTATATTTTTTTTCCTGTTCACTGAAGGTTCAAGCCAGAGATCTAATATTTTTTATTTTTTTAAGGACAAGTTAAATAGCCTGAACTGTGACGGCAGGAAGACACATACACACACAACAAGGACACTGTCAAAAGCACACAAGAAGCTTAAAAGACACCGTTATAAGCTACAACATTTTGAGTAGGTTTTCTACATTTATTGTGTGAGCAGAGAACTCCAGTGAAACAAAACGAGGCCCTGATAGAGCTCAAGCTTAGCATGAGACAAGAGAGCAAGAGAAAATGAACTCTACTAGCTCCGAAATAATACACTGGGGAGAAACACTAGTTCTCATGAAAAATGCCAGTGATTCACCATGGAATACAATTCAGAAGCCACTGACCCCAGTGGAAACTTCCAGGGGAGGCACAGATCTCGCTTCTTCTCATTTACATACCATCACAAACACCATCAAGGCTTTCTCATGTGTTGTTGCTTCACTTAAAGTTGAAAGTGATAAGATACTGGTTATCAAATGAAATATTCATGGTATTAGAGAAGAAAGAAACAAAAACCCAACACATTAATCAACAAATTCATGAACTGATCAGTGTTACCATGCAAAACAGAAGGCAAGGCATTTCTAACCTCTTAAAACACACTGAATAGCCGATAATAGAAGGCAACCCCCTCCACATCACTACCACATACACCACCACTACCACCACACACAGCTACCACCACGGTTACTTAGCACTAAGAAGATTCTCACACATAATATTTTTCATACATACCGATTTTTCATTCTGGCTTGCCCAAGTATCAGGACCGAACGCAAGTTGACTAACACAGACCACAAATCTGTCAGGAAATATATGAAGTTCTGTACAAAACAAAGAAGACCGAGTTACTAAAAGCATTAATACCATGCAAATAGAAATTCTCATTCCCAGGTTCTTTGGTAATGCTTTGTTACGGCAAGATGCGCATACTTGGGACTGGGGTCTCCTCTCCCTCCTTCTCTCTATAGGGCTTCCACCACTTGGGCAGAGTGAGCTGAGGAAGAGCCAAGGTGTACCACAGCCACTGAACTATCAGAACAGACAGAACCTCCAGGCAGGCCATTATAATTGTTCTCTGTGTTCGATGCTGCTTTCTGTTTAGAACTCCTGTGTGGTAAGGGGGCCCTTTCAATATTCTACATGTGAGGTACTGGATGAGACAGTAACGTGCTTCCATTTGGTTCAACTGTCAGTTAATCACAGAGACGTGAATTGTACAAATGCACAATATGAATACAGGTAACACCTTATACCACTTGGCTAGGTCAGAGCGTACAAAACGCCAAAAGCACTGATGTTCCTGGAGTGGTTCTACTGAGACCCTGGGACACTGGTGTTTCCTTGGTGACTACTGTTCTAAACTATGCATCTCATCACAACAGGTCAGATGCTCTAAGCAAACGCTCCACCCATCCTGCCTCACCTGGCTTCCACTACCTAACAAGGATGTGCCAACATTCAGACTCATGATTCATTTTCAGAGATTCAGATTCATGACTTCAGCCCAATCTGCTGTTCTGGTCTCAGCCAACCAGGCCTCCAATAGGAAGGCTTTGTTGTAGGTGGGGTCATGGGTGTGTCTATAATTCAGAAATTATATATGAATGAAGACCTCAGATAGTTTTTGGAAAGCTCTAAGAACAAAATTATAGAAACAGTTACTATTTATGTATTAATTCTTGAAATAAATTATTGGGATTGGAATTAAGTTGTAAGTAGCCTCTGTTCATTATTTGTCCTTTCTCTTCCTTATAACTAAATCAAAAAATTAAAGTACATTGTTATTTAGGAGATGAGAATTAAAATTCAAAATTATCACTTCATGTATGCTGTATTTCTATTGTTCATCTCAAAAAGAAGAACGATAATTATGAATACTTTTGAATAAAATATGAATAGCTTATGATAGTCAATTCAAAAGCTTTTTCAATCACTTTACTTGATTATATAATAATTGATTTATGTTACCTTAATACGTAAATAAAGATTTAAACATCAGTCCAGACCAGAATGCATACCTAGACTGTATTGTATGAGATAGAAGGTTAACTTTGTGAGTGATGTAAACAAGGTAGATGACTCCAGTAAAAGGCTAATATAGGGGCTGGAGAGATGAATCTGTGGTTAAGAGCATAATCTGCTCTTCCAGAGGACCTGGCTTTGAGTCTTGGCACCCATTATGTTGGCTCACAAGCATCTGAAACTCTCATTCCAAGAGATCCAATGCCCACTTCTCGCCTCCAAGGATACTAAGCACACATGTTGGACACATATATACATGCATGCAGGCAGACCTCACACACACAGAAAATAAAAATAACCTTTTTAAAAAGAAACAGAGGGTAATTAGCAACAAAAAAGTACAGACATGAATGATTACTATTTTATGAGCAAACTTCCATGAAGGCAATTTCAAAGTCATTGTTTTATATCTTATATTCATAAAGACATTCTCCAAAATAGCTAAGCTAAACTTTCTACTGTTCAGATCTGCACAGAGGGAATGGTTGTTATCTCCTGATGTCACTGTGGCTGACTGGACATGATATCATTTTTTGTATCATGACTTGCAGAAGTGAGGGTTGGAAGCTGGCCTCATTAAATACATATGGAAGGTTTGCTGGCTTTGGGCTGGGAAAGCACTTTCTTGTAGATCATGTGCCCCTTTCCAAGGGCTATGGGGTGCGCTAAGCCTGAGAAAATGAATCAAAGTTCACGTGCTCACTGAGTCACTTTTGAAACCCAATGAAAACCTTGTGATGCATTTGGAAGAAGTGTCCCGTGGTTCTGCTCTCTGTTCTCGTGGGCAGTAAGTACTATGCATGGAGCATGAGGGATCATATGCTTTGAAATACTAAATGATGTAGCCACAGAAGCAAATAGGAACATTTAGTCCATGATTATCAATCTTCTTTTGGACAAATTGATTATGTAAATGCCTGGTCCAAGAAACCGGATTCTTACCAGTGTTCTGGGAGCTCTGAATACAGCGAAGGCGTATCCCTCTCTTGATGAAATAGGCTGAGATCTGAAAGCCATAACCTGCAATATGATAGTGACATCATTAGGTTATAAATCTGTCTGAATCCCAGAGACCCTGCCCAATGCCTGTCACACTATGCACTCAATAATTAACAAATAAAAGAATAAAAGAAGTAACAGAGGCCTCCCATGAATGGGAGAGCAATATTATCATACTGACTCTTCTGAGAGGTCAGGCCAAAACACCTGGTATTATCCTAAGTCTGTGAAGTGACTCAGTCACCTCATCTGTAAAATGGGCAAATGAGGAGATCTAATGTGTCTGAAAATTAATGATTTCAGATGAATGATAAACTAATAAGTCTAAACTGATGCATAGATCTTGGCCACCTTCTAATGTCCACTACTTAACATTAAAAGAATAGTTTAATTTTTATTCAAATGAGTATACTTTGTAAGTAAGCTACTTCTTAGTTCAAGTTCAGTCTCATCTTTATCAATGAAGATAAAACCACCAACAACATGCATCCCCCCCCAGCTCCCAATTCACCAGAACAGATAGAAAAAAAGATTGCAAAGTCAGCATCTTCATATGCTGTTGGCAGAAGTACCAATAGACACAACTGTTTTGAAAGAGTATGCAATCCTAAAGTTGAACTTTAGCAAATGGTCTCAAACTGGAGCCAAAAGGAAGATCTATCAAGAATAGAATGTGTTTAAATGATAATGAATATGAAATATTATATTTCTCTTTAAAAAGGCATAAGCTGTAGCTACTGCATAAACTCTGCCCCAAACGGAGAATCTTATCTGTGCAAGTGAAGACATAGCCATTGATTCATCAGCGTGCTAACAGAACTTCCACAAGGAAGCACTTGCCTGCCGTTCCCTTCCTTTGTTTGGTACCCTTCTCCAGTTTTTCCTTGGGTTATAAAATACTGGATTGACTTTCTGAAAGATCAAGTAACAATGCTTCTGGTTACCACAGTCCTGAGGGTGAGCATTTCCCGGCAATGAGACAACCCATAAAGCTGCTAAGCCTTCAAGACAGAGATTGAGAACCATGAGAACCTCTGTAGGGAAATTAAGTTCCTACTACCTTTACCTCCATAATAAAGGTTTTTCTCAACTATGTGTATAGTTAAAACACAACCAAAGAAGTTTCCTCTTCTACATTTACTCTCGTTCTAACCACTCTGCAAGCAGGCTCAGGACACAGGAGAACAGACTTGATGTTCTGTCTACAGAACATCTTCGGCAGAAGAATTACTTCAGTCACACAGATTGTGAAATGACAGTGACATCCACAAAAGGAAAACCTCCAGATTTACAGTGATCAAATACACTTTTCCCGACACAGTAAAAATCAGATTGTACTTAAACCATATTGTTTGCTTCCTCTAAGTTGTACAAGGTTGGCATTTCTCCGAGGGCTTTAAACAAGTGTTTCATTCTTTACGCCACTGAGAAGACAGAAGTCACCTCCACATCTCCTTATTTGCCTTACTGTCAGGGGAGGAGTGGCTATAAAAGAGGAATCTGTAGCAATTTGGAAACATCGAAATTCAGAAGTGAATTTTCACATAATTATTTATGAGTCTTACAAAGGGTAAACGAGAAAGAGAGTGTACAATAGCCTCTGCTAGTCTGCAGGTTTAAGCAATTAAGATGCAGATGGCATGTTCAAAGTTTCGAATTCTTTCTGACGAAAATCTCAGCAACAGAAAGTTATAGGCAGGAAGGGGCTAATGTAAAGCTGATCACGTAAGCCACTCCTCTGCTTCTCATGAAGCCTGTTACCCGGGAGATACCACCTAGACGATAAAGAAACTCTACACCAAAAATTTTAATGAGTAAACAATCCTAAACAATAAAGTTCCGATATAGTGCCTCCGCCTACAGAAAACAATACAAGGCATATGCCAAGTGGTTTGTTAGTGGAATCAGTAGGACAGAACCTTGTCCCGTGCACCTATGTCCCCCAAGGCTGAATTATGTCGGGGCATCACTCCTAAAGTGGTTTGTATTATTAGTAGTCTTGGGGATTGCACGCTAATGGTCCTTCAAATGAAATATTAAGTTTAACATGCTAAAAAAAATTGCATCTGCTTAACCTAATTCTACTGGTTACATGAAACTTTATTGTTTAAAGAGAGATTAAACAAAAAATGTACTTGTGTCAGTTTTTAAGTCAAACTAAACTTGATATATAAACAGAGAATATTACTGCCACTGAAACACATCGAGCTGGAATTCTTTGGGAGATGTATTACATTTCCATAGATAACAGATATAAAGATTACTACATTCTTATCTTTGTTGTTAATGAAACTGAGTTTACAGAGTTCAACTAGCCACTGAGGTTTTAAACTTGCTCAGGGTTGAAGCAAAGCTGCACCACTCTGAAGATAACAGTAATGTGGCAAAGAATCCAGGAGGTCTGTGTCCTCCCTACTCAGCATCATCTCCCAGCTTCCGACATTAATGGTCTAAATGCAGAAAATCGTGTTAGGTTCTCAGCCTTGGTCAGATAAGTTTCTCGTTGCAGCAAGCTGTGATTAATACGGAGACTCATAACTGGCAGAATTACCAAGAAAAGAGGATAGTAGAGTGCTTGACCCTAAATGGGCCATTGTTATCACCCTTCCCAACGTTTAGAGAATTACGGGAGGGAGTAAGCAAAGACTGGAAGAGATGGAGGAAGGGAAAATGCTTTGCAAAAAGACGTCTTCTGGTCACAACACTGGCCTTTACACTCAGAAACACTCCTAGATCTGTGGCTCCCTGTACAAGATTGAGGCCATCATCATTTCATCACGAAATGGGGAAGGGCACACGAGGCCCCACCCCTACCTTAAAAATTGGTAACAATTAGTAGTGCTGGGGAAAGGGCTGTCATTCTTCCGTGGTGTAAGTACGGGTGAGTCGTCCATGCTGCAGGAAGTAACTTTCTACCCGTGCTCACGGAGGCAACTCTGACAAGCTCAGTGGGTAATTCACACAGAGAAGAAAGACACTGAAGAACAAGAGGGACGGGCTGGGAAGGATTTCAGCTGCAGAAGGAGTGGGGGAAGACAGATGGTGATGGGGGTGGTGGTGGTGAAATGACTGAAATTCACTACACAAACGAACAAAATGCCAAAGAATAAAACACAGATTAAAAAGAGCCCTCAGGGGACTGGGGAGAAGATACAGAAGAAGAAACCGTGTTTCTTCCAAACCATCTGGCAATTATCGTCTAAGATCATTAGGCACTAACAAGTCACACCATGTAGTCTGTTTTCTCACTGGCTACGGTGACCCTCTTCTACTAGGGAACACTCTCTTTAGATCGGGAAGAACCAGGGGTTTGGGGGGAGGCAGATGTCTCTGTAATGGAAGTCTCTTTCGATCACAAGTCCCTAGCTTTGTTCACTCCTAGATCTAATTTATATTGTCCAATACTAGAAAGTACGTATTTTTCCTTACCTCTAGGCAGCCCCCAAGGACTTCGGGCTCCCACTTCTTCCACTCCCTGCTTAGTTCTCTCCATTCTACAAATAGCCTCCAACTCCCCACTGAAGGCTCAATACAGGCCCCATTACTGCAAACTTTCTACTGGGCTCCACTGGTTGTCCACCAAAGCTGTACAGATTCTCAAGGAACAAGGACACTTTGTCTTAAAATGTTCCACTATGTCTTTATTAGAAATAAAAAGGTGCAAGGCTGAAGAGATGGTTCACAAGAATGGTCTCTAAGCTACTTGCTAATAACCTTGCCCTCTGAAAGTTCTTGAGCTGGGGCCCCGGAGTTCAAGTTGCCTTCAGCACTGTCTTCCATGCTCCTACAAATATGGCCCTTCCAGCCCCACTTAAAGCACCCAACTGCTTTTCTAGTCCACTATCCCCAAATCTTCCATATTCTTCCAACTAGGAGCATGGGCAGGTCTGTCACAGCAATATGCCACTCCCTGATGACAATTTCTGCGACTGTTCAATTGCTGTGAAGAGACCACTACACCAAGGCAACTCTTATAAGAGAAAGTATGTAACTGGGGCTCTGCTTTCAGTTTCACAGGCTTAGGCCTTTATCAACACACCAGGCGGCATGGCAGCATGCAGAAAGGCCCAGTGCTACATCCTGATTAGCAGGAGGGAAGGGAGCAGGACAGAGACAGACAGACACTGAGCAAGACAGCCTGAGTCTGGCATGGGCTTCACAGCAACAGAACAGTAGCTAAAGCCCTCATTTGAAAGGTATGGCCATTTACATTTGGTTATTCTAATTCACAGTGCCAAGTCACTGAGAGGAAATACCCTTGCTTACTGTGAAAGTATTCAGCCTCATTAGCTTTCCAGTAGCTGCATAGCCAGAATAACTTGAGAATCCCTGCAGCTGCCAAGGGGAGTTGGTGGCGCAGCGCGTAACACAGAAGTCCACCCTCACACTGTTCTGATACCATGTATGGGGGAAGCTGGGGAAAATGTCTCCGCGTGCCCTGCTGAGCTGATGAGATGGTATGGCTGGCATGCACTGCTTCACGGGTTTATACGGGCTCGATTCACCCACTGCATGCTCTCTTTCAGCAAGCAAAGCCTCCTCCCAGAGCACAAGGCAAGCTCAAGGAGAACACTCGTGTCCTTCATCTTCTCTCACTGAAAGAACTTCTTCAGTTGATCAGATGACCATAAAAGCTTCAGGTATCCAGGAAATCAGACTGAGTGCCACCAAGTCCCCCCGAACTCCACCATTTAGACTCAGTAAAGCATAATGACTAATCTTTTATCATATTTCTTATACATATGTTCTAAACCATTTCAGGATAAGTTAGCCATCATGAAGACTCGCTTTCCTAATACGTGAGTCTGGGCCCAAGCACTAAGGAGCATCTCCTTTATTACCCACATACTAGATTGAGCATCTTGAACCTGAATATTCAAACTCCCTTCAAATCTGAAAATCTCTGTTCACTGACATGACAATCAATGTTTCAGATTTTGTAGCAATGCAGAGTTCTGACTTTTAAGTGAGGAGTATTCAAATAATGAAATCTATATTAAAACTCCCAAATCAAAAAAAAA